TAATAATAATAATAATAATAATAATTCGTCTATGGTTGTGGGACAATGATCAATGCATCTGCAGAAGAGATTGTATTTTCTTAAGCGAAAATGAAGAAGTACGGTATTTGCCATAGCTAATGAAACCGATCCTGGCACAGAAAAGTTCAAAACGTTTTAAGCATTTCTTAGCTTCATTTCTACTCGTGGAAGTGCGGGGTTTGTGGGTTTCTCTCTTGGCTTCAGCATTTCTAATTCGTGAAGCTTCATAGTAATATTATATTACGATTTGCTGCCCTCTGTGATTGCTCCCCTCCACATTACAGGTCTGTTAGAAGCTAGGTTCTGCTATGTCAAGAGATTAATGTTGAAGACTTTCAGAGAAGGGGAGGGAACTTTGACAAAGTCTTACATGAGATCCAGGAGAAAAAATCTCCCAATAAGTCAGTGTGAAGTTATCTCACACAAGGTAAAGGGGAAATAACTCACAAAAGGTCAAGGTGAGAGCATCTCATACAAGATAAAGGTGAATTTAAATCATATCGCATGAACGGAACGCTGTAAATTAATTTCCTGTATTTCTTTCTCTTCTTCCTTTGGCCTTATTTCATAATGTGCCGTTCATCGTTCTCCATATTTCTTAGGTTTTTAGTTCTCTTTGCCAGTATTTTCCGTTCTGTTTACCAATTTTAAAATCGTTTTTCAGTTTTTTTTAAACCCACAAAAAAACAATGTGTGTGTGTGTGTGTGTGTGTGTGTGTGTGTGTGTGTGTGTGTGTGTGTGGTTAGGGATGGGGGGAGACTGGGAATTAGAAGCCAAAGATTCCGTTTTAGAATCTCTAAATAAAAGGCAGGGAGGGGGGGTGTATTTTTGGGTTTATTTGTTAGTTTCTGATGTTCGTTTCAGTTGTTCGAGTTATATATTCCAGCGCATGTTGTGTCTTTGGGTAGGTAGAGAGCTTTGTGCTCCAGGTGGGACATAGGGGCATATTGAGAGAATGAAAGACAAAAGAAAAGTCAGAGTGGCACACTCTCACTAAAGGGAAGAAGAGGCAGAGAGGGGCAATGGCGGGACAGAGGCTCTGCGTCATAGATTGTGACAATATTGTATACTGATACTCAAAGAAAGGGAACTGAAGTTCAGAAAAATAAAAGAAGAAAAGAACCCCCCCCCTCCCACACC